TGAAGATGTTTGTGGTGTTTGTGATCCTCGTGCACGGTAAGATAACCTTCCTCCCTCTGATCTGATCATCACCTCAGTCCAACGTCACCTCTTTAATCTGGGTTTCTTTCATCCTAACATCCTTAGTCTGTTTCAGCTCCCTCTACTTTCCTTTAGTTCACTTTGCTGTAGTACACTTAGTACACTAATACCTGTGTATTGCATGAATTTGCAGGGTCTCAGATCAAACATGGCTGTTGCGCTCTTACTGAAAATGCATCTTGCACCATTTGATCACTTCTTATTCTTCTTTTTGATGGAAAATTACAACCGTTAGTGGAACCAAATGATTGCAGACATATCCATGGTGAGCCAGCACTGATAAAGAAGTATCTTCTTTGCATTTTTGGTGGGTTGCAGTCTCAAATGATATTTGATCTACACTCTTAGAACAGATCCGTTAAAAACAACATTAACATTTTAACACATGTGCTGCAGCAGCTCAGGGACAACAGGTGTTGCATCAGATTTGACACAACTCATGTGTCCGTTTCTTTAATGAGCCGACAATTTAGGTGTCAACACTTTTGAAAAATCATTCATTTTATATTCTTCTCCATGTATATAAGAAAAAGAGGTAATACACCATATACTAAATTGATTGGTCCAGCTCATCAAAGGTGCACTGTTGATTAGATGTTTTATTTTTTATGTGCTATACTTGGTGCAACGTAGTTACAAATACTCAAAAAGTATATTTTAAAATATTTGTTTAACACATTTATTACAGATTACATTTCTTTCACATTAAACATTCATGTAATTAAATCTGATTCTGTAATCTGTAATACATTACATTTAAACCAATTAACTAATTATTAATTCATATGTCAAGACAACTGTAGAGGTGCTCCGATCAGGATTATCTGGGCTGATCTGGGTCTACTTGAAGCCTTTTATTGAACATCTTATAGCTTAACAAATATAGAGTTTCTGTGGAATAAACTACAAAAACAGAACAAACAGCATCTTTATGAATTTATGAGAGAGGGGTAGAGAGAGAGAGAGAGAGAGAGGGGTAGAGAGAGAGAGGAGGAGAGAGAAGGAGAGAGAGAAGGAGAGAGAGAGAGAGAGGAGAAAGAGAGAGAGAAGGAGAGAGAAGGAGAGAGAGAGAGAGGAGGAGAGAGAGAGAGAGGAGAGAGAGAGGAGGAGAGAGAGGAGTAGAGAGAGAGGAGAGAGAGAAGGAGAAGAGAGAGAGAGGGAGAGAGAGGAGTAGAGAGAGAGGAGAAAGCCGCCTTTGTGTGGCTGTAAAGAGTAACATAGCTAGCTAGCTAGCTGGCAGTATCAAAGTAAACAACTGGAAATGCAGTTCCGGTCCTAGGATTGCAGTCCTGAAACTGCAGCCTCCGGTACTGCAGCTATGCTACTCCTTTTTCTGGGATGCTTTTTTTTTTGTAAATGAAGTGAGTGACAAATTTGACAAGTCACTGCAGGTGAATGGGATAAAGAAAATAAGCATATCACCACAGAACTTCCCCAGTTAATGACTTACATCAAGAATATTTCCCTCTGAAATGTGCTTTGTAATTTAGTTAGAAGAAATCTATAGATGCAAATAAGCAGAGGTTAGTAGGCTTAAAACCAACACCATCTAAATGTTTATTCTTAAAGTTTTATTTCCATTAGAGTAAAAGAAGACATGAAGCAAAATAGACCAAAGTCTGAAAAGTGACCACTATGAAAAAGTGCCTTAAAGAGTAACTTCATAGTTTTGATGGTCGGCTCCTCATCTAATAACTCTCCATTCTATTAGTTTGTTGTATGCTGATAGATCTTGATACAGACAGCCATAGGCGTCGCCAGACCCTTTTTACTGGGGCACGTGTCCCTGTATCCATGAGCTGTGCCCCAGTAAGATTGTCAAGACCCCTTAGCGTCGTGTCTGGACATTAAGGGCTCCCGGTCAAGTTAGCAACAATTGGCTGCATCTGCAGCGTCCGGTGAAGTTAGCAATAGTATAGGTCTACATACAACGTTCGTTTTACATTTTCAAAATAAAACTACTGGTTAATGTGAAAAGGCACGTAGTTAATGATATGAAATATCACAAAAAACAAGTCAATGTTGAAAGCAAGTGTTGATAAACACAGAGGGGCTTTCCTTCTGGGCACAAGAAGAGAAAATAACTCACTCACAGTGACTTTCGAGAACAGCAGTCAGGTAAACTCGTTTTCTCTCCTTTGAAAGTCCGATGTGAGCCTAGCTGCAGTGAGTCAGCCTCTGCGCTGCTAACCCAGCTATCGTGATAACATTTTTGTCCATATGGCCCAGCCCCTGTATAAACAGCATTTGAAAATGTTAAAGGAAACCTGGGAGCCAGTTTGTATGGGCCTGATGCAGCTGATAACATTAGTATCTAGCAAGTATCTATTATTTAAAGGGGCTATGCTTATATTTGTCAGTAGAGTAGATGCTGGATCATAAGCCAGTACGAGCGCAGTTGATCCAAATCCAGTACCAGCACAGACCCAGTCCAGACGTCTTTAGCAGGTCACACAGACCCAGGTGAAATACAGGCAGCCTCAGCCAGTACGAGCACAGCCAGAGATGTCCAGCCAGCAGCAGTCTTAACAGACTTTATGAGTATTTTTATAGAAGAGGTTCCATTCATGCTTATTACAGAGACAGACCGTTTTAAAGGAGAGGTAGTAGTGAGAGCAATGCATGTCAGCTGTGACTGTGCAGCAATGGCAAATTGTTATAAAATAGGTGTGTGTGCTTATACTCCGGTCAAATCCCTTTCTGACATGACCAGTATTAATGGGCTAAACAAGGGAAGCCAGTGAGATACATACTAATAGGTTTCATACACTTCAATCTAAAATAAATCAATCAATTACATGAGGCATGTGGGGCCTGTGCCCTCATGTAATTGATGTAATTGATTGATTTCATATTTTTGCCACTTTCATATTTTTGCCACTTGTTGGCAGAGTAGCAAGCTGAAAACATCTTTCATTAGGTACGTTTCACTTCATGCGGCGCTGCGCAGAGCCGACTTAACATGATGCATGCTGGAATGCATGGTAGTTAAAATGCTCTGCTTGTTGCTCGGTTTCTGGCCTACCCATCCACCGCAACCACCTTCTTACTTGGACTTTTCTGTTAAATACCCTGTTCCCACCTTCACCGTTCAGCAATGATGCAACAGGGCTTCCTCAGTGCATTACAAATTGACACCAAGAGGTTTTGACCATCTATGCCACTAACTTTTCAACGTCTTTGCACCACCTGTTAAAGCTTTGTTTTCAAAGCATGACCTCTTTTTTTCTCACTGAGTCAGCAGTTTTCCTGTCATCTGCCCAGTTAATTTGGGTCTTGGTGGTGAACACCTTTGCCGACCCTGTACATCTACGGGATAGTGGCGACTCTAAACATCAATTAAATATGGTTAGGTGGCTGTTTGGCAAGTACAGAGGTCAGAGTCTTGCGATAAATTGGAGGTTACTGAGTTCCCAGCACCATTGTGCATTGCCTAACCTTCCTGCAGCCCTGACACTCTGTTCTGAAACACAGTTTACACACAAATCTGATCTAACCTAGCTAGGTTTAGGAGCAGTGAAGCTACAGCGGTCAGCAATCAGGTCATACAGCCTGCTCATTATCTACCTAGAATTAGCTCGTTTGGATAACTGGGAAAATTCTTCCATTAAGAAGTACGGAGTCAAAGATGTAATCAATGAATTCTTTATATACGTGGCCACGGAGAGAAAGATGACAGTTCTCTGGTTGGATGGTTGAGGCTCCCTTTGGAGGTCTCCCTCTCCTTAAATACACTCAAGTACAAAGACAACAGCAAACGGTACACTGAGAAACATCAGGAGTAGTAGCATACACTCAATGGCTCTCCTGGGCTGACAAAAGAAAATGAATATAGCACAAAGATGTCCCCCTACCCCCATCGTCTGTGTTGAAATGTCATCTACACGCTTGACATTTATTGTAGACCAGCAGCCTCTTGCACCAGCGATACGTAAGTTCTACCTTAAGTTAGGGTGCAAAGTCCACACTAAACAATACGTTGAAACTAGTTAGTTTGAGACTGAAGCTGTGTTGATGTTTGTTTGATTGCACCACAGAGATACAAGGTGCATCTTAGCTAATCTGGCATAAAGTCCATACTCATCAAAACAGTGTCGCAGAAAATGACGTTGACACATCCCATGGCCAATCAGTGAACAGCACTATTCTTAACAGAGTTTATTAGGTTTTGTCATCTGCTGGTCTCTCTCTCTTTAAACGTTTGCAATACTGAAGAGGCTAACGGCTAAAAACAAAACAAAACACCAACAAAAAGGTGCGTAGACAAGGACAAAGAATTATGATTAGGTGATAACTATGAAACCTTAATCTACAGTTAGTCTCACAGTGACATCGAGTGGTAAAACCGTTAACTACAACATAGACGTAATGTAACGGTGCCCGTAACGAACCTCAAAGTATAACGGGCAGATGAAATTGTAACATTATAACTTCTATACGTGTAGGAGCCATTATCCCCCTCATATTTAAGTTAAGGGAGAAAAAATACGAGTTTGCTGGGGGCAGGTTCAGTGCCTCAATATTACAGACTTCCCAGCAAGCAATAGTCGTCATTTCACCGTCTAGGTTTACTATAGATCTGATTTAGTCCAGCTATGAGTAACCCACTACTAGCCACAATAACTTTAAATGTGGTTACATGACATTTTTGCCAAAATAACTTGCAATGTGAATGATATTCCATCATTTAAACACGGTCTACAGTGATTACAAGGTTTTTTGTTTCATTTCTTACACATGATTTACGTGCAGCCTGTGCGTAGACACGATTTAGCTCGTAGACAGACCGGCTATTTGTAGCCCACTTTTAGTCAAAAAAGTCAAAAATGATTAAAAGTGGGGTTTTGCCCTGGCAGCACGTGAGATGGTTGATATCCCATTATTTTTGCAATGTCATAATATCTACAAGATATTAAGTGTCATTAAATTGACATGGTCTATCTTTAGCCACGATTTAGCTCTTATTTGGACAGGCTACGTGTAGTCTGCTTTTAGCCCACCCGGCGAAATAGAGGCAATCAGTGGTCTTATAGCAACGGCTTGGTTGTAGCCCTGTTTCAGACCAAATAGGTTACATGTAGTTTTCACCCATGCAGCTGTTGAGATGCGTGATATCATATAATCAAATGCAAGTAAACATTTAAATTATCTTTATTTTCGCTGTAACGTTCACTACATTGACTTTCATTTTAATTTAAAACAAGATGCAATTACTATTTTCAACCGCTAGATGGCAGCTGTAGCCCTACTACACATGACTACTGGCAACGCGAGACTTGAAATTTAGACATCAGGGACGGCCCTGGTAGACATCAGAGTTGCCACATCTCGCAATAAAGACATCTGCCATTTTTAAACGAGGGAGACGTTACGACCTCGGCCTTTCAGCGAGCAACGGGCAAGAGTTTACTGCAAACACTGGAAGCAAAAAGACATTTACTTTGGTCTTGTAAGTATCTGTGTCTTTTTTGACATGTCTTCATTTTTTATCTACATTATATGTTAACGTGTAGGAACCGGGACAACAGTGTAGAGTAAGGCATGTTGTGGTTAGCTTAACATGCTGCATGCAAGTGAAACTTAACGTTACTCCATGATACCCACGGGTTTCCTCGTGCCCTTACAAACTCTTACATTATCTGAATTCAGAAGGGGTGAACATGAAACATGTGCAACCTTACCTATTATAATTTGTAATGAAAGCCACGCATATTTTACTCACTAGATCATTTTGATATGAAAATATGAGTTTTTGACTTTTGACACTAAATATTTATTGCAAATTCTCCAGCATACAGTCAGCAAAGCACAATAAATATTCAGTACACATTACATTCACCGCACATTGCTCTCTCAAAAGAAAAGCAACTTTTCTATTTTGTTGTTCTAATGCAACATGGCTAAAACATGTGTCCTGTTCAAGTATCTTTATATTTTCCATAGATATAAATGGGTCAGTAATAAATACTTTTAAATTAAAAAGAAAAAAACGTTATAAATGATTTTTTTTTAACCTTCATGTTTTCATTTAAAATCATTTGATGATAGTAGTCATGTCTTATGGGAAAACAGTCAACATAGTCAAATTATAATGGTTACTTATATTCATATTCTTACATATTCAACAGTTATGGATCCCATTTACCCGAGAGACTGGCGCCAACCGAGAGACCCATCTGATGCTCTTCCTGTATCAAGTAGCAGCGTAGATGAAGATCTAGATTTGGATGTAGCCAAACAATTTATTTTATCATTATTTATGTTTTTATTGCCGCATGTTGTTAAAATTGTTTGTATTTTCATATATATATGAGAGGTTTTGTATTTATAATATTTTAGCAATAATTCCTTTATATTTTCATCACGTTGTATTATCTTAAGTTGTCTACGTTGTAATTCTTTTTCTTAATAAAATCTTTATATTTAATTTGTTTGGACGGATTACCATTTGTGAGAACCTGTTTTGTTTGAGTAAAAACAATCCGTAAGCCACTATTCTGTTGTCTATTAGAGGTAGATATGTAGTCATTTAAAAGCTGTATATTTGGTCTATACTTGGGCTGTGGTTAAACGTCTACTAACTCTTCACTGACAGCCCAAATTCAACCTTGTTTTAGCCCAGACCCATTTTCAACATCTAATACACGTCTATGTGTCGCCGTTCAATGGTGGTCTAATTGATGACTAGACTATTCTTGGGCTATGGTTAGACGTCTACCAAACTTTCACTGACAGCCCAAATTCAGCCCTGTTTTAGCCTAGACGTCTGGGCTCTGTTTTTAAGCGTGAAATTGCTTGCTGGGTTTTCTTCTGTGCTGCTCTTATTACAGCCTACCTGAAGACAGCAGTGAGGGTGCCTGCAGCAGGGTGGGCAGTAACTTGTTACAAGACACGCAAATTTGCAAAATAAATAAATAAAAATAAGTCATTGCCTTTTCACGATCCTTTATTATTAATATCTTTAATCTTTAATCCAATATTTTCTTTGGGCTAGTAATCTACTCTTAATTTCGTTACATTTTCAATTCATACCTTCATAACTTAACCAGTCTGTGATCTGCATTTTGCTTCATTAACCGAAATGAGATCATCCAGGCTGTGTGCGCTGGGTTATACAGAAGAGTCTGCATAATTTGCTCCTCCTGATCCCACCTTTCAAAACGATGCGCCATGACAACCACTTGACTATTTTATGGAGGACTGTACACCTTTGAAGGACTAGGTGTAAGATTAACGTTGTAACTTATGTCTACGTTGGACGTATTTCAGCTGGTGCAACCCTTAAAACGTTAGTAGCACGTAAACTCCTACTTAAGTTAGAAATTACATTTAAGCTAGGCTAAGTTTGAACTTACACATAGTTGGTTCAACCCAGTGCAGGTGTTTAGCCAAAATCACTGTGACCAGGACTTATTTCTCAGAGTTAAAGATAATGAGTTCTATCTGCTACCTAAAATGTATTTCTCACATAACTTAAGCTAAGTCCAATAATAAAAAATCTATTTTGACCAGCTTACTTCACATATAGGCACGTCATATTATGCGAAACATGTAAATTATACTGAGCAATAAACATACATGTCTTTTGCTCAGTTTACCAATTTAAAACATCACATTCCACATGTCTAGCCAAGCTAACAAACTGGTACCTCTTATAGTAACGGCTACAAAAAGTACTAAATGGGACCATAATTTACTAAATGAACATCATGCTGTGTTGAAGAAGACTTGAATCTAGCGACTGAGACCATAAACTCATCAGGAAAGTGTTTACTGAGGGAATAAATCAGCTGAGAATATAATAAAAGTATAGAGGGAAAATGAATTACGTTGAACATTTGACTTTGACTGTAACTGGTGTTGTGACGTACTAAAGCTCATATATAAGTAAGTGAGACTCTGAGTTGTTTAAAATGCATTGTGAGTCTATATGAATGCAGAAGGGCTGTTGACAGTATTACTATATTTATTTTACACTGAAACTGTAACAGAGCTGCAGCATTGTCACGGATACTTGTATTGCAGGAAGTTAATGTTCAGTATATCGGTGAATTATAATGTTTTGGTCTCTGACAAACTTTAAACTCATTGCACAGCGAACACCACAACAACAGACAGGAACTTTACTGGCAAACAAGTCTCAGGCATTCACTGTGAGACACACGTGTATATATATATATATATATAAACACAAATGTATCAAAATCGATTTAGCTCTATAGGGTAAATGATGAAATAAGGCTGCTGTGATTGAACCTCTCTGTCTGTGTGACCTCACAGTTTCCCAGCATCCCTCAGCTGTGGAGCTGTATGAGGGGAGGAGTCTGTCCTGCTGCCCTGTGAGTTTCAAACATTTGACATAGACGACCCCACAGTGGTGTGGAGCCGCTATGATCTCGATCCTCCAACCGTCCACCAGCGTCAGCAGGAAGGTGATGAACTTAAAGACCAAAACCAGCTTTACAGCGGCCGAACATCCATGATGACTGACGCTCTGGAAACTGGAGACCTCAGCCTCAACCTGACAAAACTCCAGCTCTCCGACAGCGGCACCTACACCTGCACCGTCAGAGACTCTAGGGGAGAACAGAGAGTGACAGAGATACAGCTGCAGGTCAAAGGTCAGCAACAAACCCTAACAGCTGCTGTAGATACAGGTCAGAGGTCAGAGGTCAGAGGTCACGTTCTTTATGTTTCTGGTTCCCACAGAACGATTTCCATCCTGGGTCAAAGTTCTCCTGGTTCTCCTGGTTCTCCTGGTTCTCCTGGTTGCTGGTCTTGTTGCTGCTGGGGGTCTTCTGGTACATTTCCGGCAGTATTTCATGTCAGGTATGTCACTACTGCTACACCTCCAGCATATGAAGGTGTTATTGAAGCAGAACAGCTGAACACCTGTGACAGTGGAACCTGTAGATGTAGAAAATAGTCCCACGTGTTTCAGTGATTTTCAAGTCACAAAGAGAAATGTTTCACGAGTACTAGAAGTTTTTCTCTGCCACAAACACAACAGCTACTATTCTCAAGTTCTTCTCTGCAGATGTAAAAATCCTATTCTACAATTACAAATGCTCACTGTAGCGTGTCTACTTATGTTTTTAATAAACATATGAGAATTGATACAAAATTATGAATTTTGATGTTCAGAGAATATTAATTCAGAAATCTCTCGTTTCGCGGGGCACCACTCGAGATTCCGTTCAGCCAGCCAGCCAGATTCCCTAGATAGGGTTTATAATTATACAATTATTCACTAGTGATCAGTTAATAATCGCTAAATTATCTTAAATCAATCAGTCAGTCTTATGTTGAAGGGGTAAATTCTCCTGGCAGGGACTTGGAGACAGGCAATACACACACACAATTCCTTTGATTACGGTGAAATTTATTAACTAACTAAGGTGATATAAAAATGTGGTAAATATACATCAAAGGAATAACAATGGCTAAACAACATGGGGCAAACAAAGAATGTTGAGTTCTATTGTGGGGAGAATTTGACTTATACGGGCAGCTAATGAAAGCAATTAGGTGATAACTCGGTTAAATTTGTGTAGGAGTTTCATGGATTAAATATACTGGACGAACCGACTATTGGACATCACTGATCACAGAATGCCTTGTTTGCCATGCCTTGGCCGGTTGCACGGGTCCCCACGCTAGCTGCCTGATTTCTGGCTGTCTGCTAGGGAATTTTCCGGGGGTTCTCCGTGTCTGAATGAAGAAAAACACTCCAGTGTTGACCGTCCTCAGTCTGGCAATTAGGCCTTTCTGTCGGATGTCTTTTGTTACTGCTGGCGGGGCCACGTGACTGGGTCCAGACGTCGGTGGGAGCAGTGCAAGTTAGCTCGACAAATAAAGCTAAAAAAAGAACTTTGTCATTCTTGAATTAAAATTCTGTAAGTTAACGGTCTGATAACTTTTAACAAACAAACAAAAAAAAAGCTAGTAAGTTGCTGGGAACGAGGGAAAGCTGAGGTCGTGGCGCTTCACGTGTGTGGCTTGAAAATGAACAAAAGGCCTTCGCTGCGCCGGGTCGAACTTCTCAGGGCGTTGCCGGGAGACGGGCAGTTGAAGAGAACAAGGGAGCGAGGAACAACAGAGCGAGAGAGAGGAAAAATTACTCGAGTAGTATAGGATGACATTTCTTTATCATATCCTAAAGGAAGTGTCATAAAGTGTTAGGAACAAAGCATTGGTTACAACATAAAATGAGGCAAAGTCAGGTGACCTTGCTGAAAATTAAAACACTGCAAAATTAACTTATTTAGATTCTTTTCAACAACAATATCAACAACATGGTAACAACTTCTAAAATGGAGTGGAGAGACCTAGTTAAGTAACTTAAATATTATTTAATTAAATAAGGTAATGCTTTGAGTTCTGAGGAGACAGAACTCTTTGTGTTTACACAAAGAGTTCAGGGCTTTGTCTGGTGTCCTGGATTTTCTCACGAATTCACATCTGGCTGTGAAGAGGGGAATATCCTTTGATGTGAGGTAATTAAACAAAGAGGGAGGTCAGTTGCCATGGTTACATGTGTGGGGAGGCAGTTTAGGGTTCCCCGTCCTCTTTCCCAAAGAGCTTTGATAGGCTGTTCGTAATCTCTGGTTAGTGTGTCTTTGTCATTTTAACAGTCAGGCACCGAGCCTTATCACGGCTGCTGCCAAAAGTGGCCAGTTTTACGATCAAACTACGCAGAAACAGCACTTAGGGCAAGCAAACCTTTCACCTCTTCCTTTGGGGTCTCTTCAGCCGTCTGTTGAGAGTTGATATCTCACCCCCCTCTTTCTCTCAGAGAGAGACGGAAGGAATTTTGAGTCTCCAAATTGTTTGATATAAAATGCACAAGTCCACACTGTTTGTACACAACACCACATTTCTGCTCCAGCTGCTGCAGTGAACATGCTGCAAAACACTTTCACACACCGAATTAAAACAACACAACAAGTCATGAACAAGTCCAGCATGGAGACTGGATTATGTGGAGCTCTGTAGGCCTCTTCCAGAAAACTCTGAGTTAGTTAACCTGTGATGAGGGAAACTGAGGAAACAAGAAGAAAGATCCTTAAATAGTGTTTTAAAGATATCCTCAATACAATATATATGATCGAGGGGTCAGGGGAGATCTACAGGCAGTGCCTCAGATCCTGGACTTCAGTTTCACTAAAGGTCAGCACATTATGCACCTCAATGTTCGCAGTGTTCTTTCTAAATCAGATGAGATAAGATTGATGATGTGCAATAGTAAAGTTGGGATTGTGTGCTTTTCAGACTGGACGCCTCAATCAGCAATACAGAAATTGAAATTAAAAATGATCCTGACTTACGAAAAGATCGTAACCCTAATGGGGTTGTGTTTATATTAGGGCTGATATTTGTTTTAGTCGCAGAATGCATTTAAATCACGATCTTGTTGAAGCTGTGGGTTTGATGTACAGTTAACTAAAAGCAAGCCTTTATTAATTGGGGCTCTGTATAGACATCCTGATCAAAGTCATTTTATCAGTTGATGGAAGAATCTTCTGTCCCCTGCAGGGATTGTAGTTAATACAAGCGTCCAGACGAGTGTCTAATATTAGTCAAACTGTCATTAATCTCATCTTGGTATCTGATCACTCTATGATTTCTCAGAGTGAAGTTGTAAATTGTACAAGGAAAAAGCATAAAGTTGCATTTAAGAAACAAAATACAATTAAGATCAGGTCATTAAAATATAATAGTTGTGAGGTCTTTATTGAGTGTTTAAATCCAATGGATTGACTTCAGTGTTATGTTTGGATGTTGATGAAACATGGGAGCAGTTTATAAATTTGTTCTTAAAGGCAGTAGATAAAGTTGCTCCTATAAAAACTATTAGAGGTTTTAGGACGACTAAAGAGCAGGATGATTTGGATAATTATAAGACATATAGAGCAAAAGTATTTTTTTGTGAGACAATTACTGAATATAAAGGTAACCCAAAGAAACTTTTGCAGTCATTGAAACAAATTGGTTACAGTAAAAGACTCAAGACAAAGAAAAAAAACATCGATGAGGAACTCTCCTCCGATTAATTAAGGGTTGCGGATAAATTTAACACCTTTTTTTTTTTTTACATCCGTAGCTGGAAATTTAGTTGATAAACTGCCTAGAAAACCTGGTTTATATGACGGTAATGTCATGTTTATTCTCAGCTTGGAGTGGTAGCTGACTCTTTTGGCCTTTCTATGATTACACAGGACAGGTCTTAAAGTTATTGAATGAACTTGAGTGTTTGAAAGCAACTGGTCTAGATGAAATATAAATAAGAAGAGGGCAATTATCGACCAGTTTTGATTTTGGGAGTTGTATCAAAAGTCTTGGAGAAAATAATACAAGAGCAAATAATGACTATATTAGTAATTCTGATTTGTTTTATAAATTGCAATCTGGTTTCAGAGTGTCTTATTCAACAGATACGTGTTGTGTACACTATATAAGGAAAGAGATCGAATTGGGTAAACTCTGTGGCAGAATATTTTAGATTCCAGAAAGCATTTGACACCGTGGACCATGACATTCTGCCAATTAAACTAAAAGCCCTGGGTTTGTAGGCATGTGAATGGATTGGATCATACTTGACTGAGAAGCATAAAAGAGTTGAAATCAACAGCAGATGTGGTGTGCCGCAGGGTAGTGTCCTGGGTCCATTGCTCTTTCTCTTGTTTATGTAAGAAAAGAAATCCGCAATTGTAATCTTTTTCTCTACGTGGACGATTCAGCCTTGGTGTTCTCCCATAAGGATAAGAAAGTTATTGAGAACCATTTAAGTTGAAGAACATTAAAGGATGGCTTGTGGAGAACCAATTGTCTTGCATCTGGGGAAAAATTAATCTTTTTTATTTTGTTCAAAAATAAGGTTGAGTAGGACACCAGAGCTCAGTACTTCGGTAGGTGATACCCAGATTGAAGCTAAAGACTTGTGTTAAATATGTAGGCTGTGATTTAGATATTTCCTTGAGTGGAGAAAGTATGGGTCAAAGGGTTATCACAAAAGTGAACTAAAGAATTAAATTTCTGGCACTTAAGGGTCAGTCTGTAAGGACTTGGCTGGAAACTAGAGGGTCGCTGGTTCGAGTCCAGCTCGGACCACAGATTCGGAGTGTGGACTGGTAGCTGGAGAGGTGCCAGTTCACCTCCTGGGCACTGCCAAAGGTGGCCTTGAGCAAGCCCCTGAACCCCCAACTGCTCGGGGCGCCGTACCAAGCAGCAGCCCCCTCACTCTGACATCTCTCCATGTGTTGTGCCTATAGGTCCTGTTTGTGCATGTGTGTGTGTTTCAGACCTGTGTGTTAAAAAAATACTAACAATTAACAACAGTGAAAACATTGAGTTTCCCCTTGTGGGATTAATAAAGTATATCTTCTTATTCTTTTTCTTAGGGGCTCATTTTCAAAATAAAGAAACTTTGAATGTTAGCAAATGTTTTAATTCAGCCACACTTTGAGTATGCCTGTACTACATGGTACAGCAGCACCTCCAAGAGGTTAAAAGTTCAACTTCAAACGGCACAGAATAAATTGGTCAGGTTGACCTCAATAATAGGACCCATGTCGGCTCTTCTGAATTTAAGAATGTAAAATGGCTGACAGTTGAAAACACAGTGAGGCAGTTGAAACTGAGATTAACACAAAGATTTTGCATAGGAACGAGCCATGGTATTTTAAAGACTATTTTAAGATCAGGAACTCTCATAGCTACTCAACTAGCGGCAGTGCCATGGACGTGGTACCTTGTAGATTTAAGAGCTATAAAACACCTTTTTGTACACGTCAGCATTGGAATGGAACAAACTCCCTGTTGAGATTAAGTTAAGTCACTCAGATCGCTGTTTTAATTGAGCATGTGGTGAATGGTTGGTAAATGCTTTTTTAAAATCAATTTTCAC